TCTTGGACCCCTTGTTAGATGGACACGGCGCATGGAGGTCTCAGGCGGATCACCAGCTTAACCCTTAAACTCTAAGCCGCTAAACCTTAAGTGTGACCTTCGCTTGATCATCTCCAAGACTTGAAAACACCACCATGCACATGGTGAGGGGACTTTGGTTACCGCAACCCCTAGAAAAGCGCTCAGAATTTAAGGAATTTGGTTTCCCCAACCCCGATAATGATAAGGACAGCGGATATTGATAAGGACCTGCAACAATCATATCCTAGTCCTAATTCGACAGAGAGGTTGGGGTAACCAAAACCCCCTTATCACTACACCCGCGATATGGCAATTCATGGAGTAGGCCCCTAGCCATAAAAAGGGCTCTCTCGACAAGAAGCCCAACATGTTGGGTTTTAGGGTTTCGGGGTCAAGAACTCCAACATGTTGGGTTTCCATGATTTAGGACTGGAAGCTCCCATATGTTGAAGCTGACGCTGCCTGCAGGGGGGAGTTGTGCTGCTGGCGGCTTCTGAGCCTGATTGGGATTGAGGGGTTCTGAGCCTGATTAGGATTGAGGGGCTTAGGGTTGAGGGTTTAGATTTGCGGTTTCGGGGGTTGGGCCCTTTCGGACTGCAGGCGTATCTGAAAAGTGTGAGGAGGCTGCTGTGCGCACGCTTCAGTCGACTTAGGGGTTGTGTTCCGCAACTCTCACATGCCAACGTTGGCCAACATCAGAGAACATGAAATAGCGGGAAGGGTAACAGAAGGGGAGGCCTCGACAGTAGCATGACAATGGGGATTGCTAGGGTCACTCGGACTCCTAGTGTTCTTCCGTCTTACTTGAACGTTCGCTGGCAGCTGTAATGGGTTGGAATAATAAGCACAATTATTATAGCCACTGGGGCTGGAGGCAATCTTGCATGCCCATTGTACTGCAATTCCTAGGATATGAGTTCTACGAGGTTCTGTCCCCAGTGTAATCGAATTCAAGGAATTCCAAAAAAACCTTACGGCGCCGTACTAATTCCCAACGTAGAAGGCTGGAGAATTACCCTCTTCATTGCCTCTTCCCTTACAATCGTTACATTAGGCCCCCAATTCTCTTACCACCCTTCTCTGTACCACACATCCCCAGTCCCCCTTCATCAGCTTGATTACACCAAGAGAGGCTTAACCAATTCAGGGGGAACCCAAAGGGGGGCTAATATAGCGGGGAGGGGGGTGTGGCTAAGGGAACCCATAATGAACCAGGACCCGGGATGTCATTAATTTCGGAGCGGTTTTCGGGCAAAGTGTACTCCCCTCCCCTGAATACGACTCTAGATAAGTACGTCTATTGTGCGACATTAATGTTCTCCAGAACAGTAACTATGCGGGGAAGTAGGTTACAGCTTGCTTATAGCTTGGGTGTTTTCCTAACCAAGCCCCAAACTGACATGGAGGGCAGCTTTGGCAACTGCGCAGCCATTTGAAGGCCGACCATGCAAAAACAGGCAGCTACTCATGAACCAGCTAGCTCATGACTCAGAGTAATAAACTTCGCACACCAGGATTCCATCTCTGCGCTGCCAGAAACAGACGAACATTTTGACTAACTCGTTCTTATTCTTAAGGAATTTAATATGTTGGGTCTATATTGGGTCCCCTTACTTTGGGAAACTACCATTTCTGAGCAACAGTACGACTACAGGGGTGTCCGGAACGGCGATGCATTTGACACTCTACAGCAAAAGTCTTCAGAAACCGGAACGTTCCAGCCCGCATCGAAACGGCAATGCAGGCTGAGATCAGGCCCTTGAGAACCTTCCCTGAAAGACACTTACTGCTTAGTAAGGGATAAGGGAATACAATCTACATAATGACTATGCAAAATATGGTAATTTCCCAAAATAAGGGACCCCAATATAGCCCCCAAAAAGGAACCCTATTTCTGGGAAACCCTTAGGTATTCCTTTATGCCCTACTGATCCCCAGCTAAACCCTAAACCCTAAACCCTAGGATGGGTCATCTGAGGCTCCAACGTGTCAGGCCTGGGTCAGGGCACGTTTCACAAGTTTTCGTTCCGGCGTGCAGCCTCTAGGGCTAAGTGGTTCAGGGATTCAGGGTTTAGGGATTTAGGGTTTAGGGATTTAGGGTTCAGAGATTTAGGGTTTAGGGATTTAAGGATTAAGGGCTTTAGGGTTCAGGGGTCTAGGGTTTAGGCATTGGACTGGACCTTCCTGTACTTGGCATGCTTATCAAAAGTCTGTTTCTCAAGTCTTGTCTAAATTGTACTTCAAAAGAGCCGAAACTATTTCTGAATAGGTTCAGTTGCGAAACAGCAAGAGTCCTCCAAAATCATTCCACACTGCCACCTACGTGCTTTTGCTACCACCAATTCGATACATGATTGGAGCCTTCTCCTGGGGCTCTTAAACGACCTGTTGTATACACCTTTGACCCGATAAACCCAATTAAGGGCCCAAGTTATCATCCACCCTATGCTTGGAAACAAATTGAAAGAAACCCATAAGTTTCTTAGAGGGTCTGGGGTCAGTTTCACGCTCTCCCCAAACCTCAAACCCTAACCAAATTCAAAGCCCTGTCCTTCTTACCGAGGAAGCAGTTAATAATGAAACCCGAGACTGTGTGTTGCAGGCAGCGGCCCTTGGTCAAGACTCTAGGCCCCAAACCTTAGGGCCTTTGGACCTTCAACTCATTAAAACCCCAATCCCTAAACCTTCTGGATCCCCGGACAACGAAACCCTAAACCCTAAACCCCAAACGCCTTGAACCCTGAACCTTACACCTTAGCACCTTCCACTCACCACTGGCAGCTCCTGCACTACCCTGCCCAGGCGGCTAATTAAGCGCAAAGCCCAGAGCGAGGTTTGGGTGGCGATGCCTGGCTTCGGAAGTTGCTGGTGGTTTAGGTAGGGGGTTGCATAGTCTGGAATGTAGGAATGGAAAAGCCAGGGAGAACTACTTGCACTGATCGTAGGAGATGGAGGAAAGGACAAGACAATGAAAAGAACTTATAGTTCGGCTAAACCCTATACACCCCATTTTTTAGTTTCTATTTTCTTTTCCATTATCTCCATATATCCCCAATATAACCCGAACATTACCCCAATGGTGTTGTGAAGGCGGGGTGGAGAAAACAGAGAGCAAAGCAGTGCAGCATGATCCTTGGCTTGCTGGCAGGCAATTGTACCAATGGTACTAACCAGCACGAGCTGCACTGACCTAGCTACTTTAAATCGAGGGCAATTTGGGTTTACTTGGGGTGAGGTCATTGTAAGTTGCTTGCAATAGGTCCTAAGCCCTAAACCCTACACCCTATAGCTTGCTCAAACCTGGATCAATCTCAGCTGTACCCTCGCTGAGGGCACCGCCCCCTGGTGTCCACCCAGCGCCAAGCTAGGCCATCATCCTTCGAGCTGATTTTGGGTGGTTGTCAAAATGATGGTCCCTTTTTGGGTACCCTAAGTATTAGGTGCTGTACTATAATAGGGATCCAAGAAGGGACCATAATTTTGACAACCACCCATTTAGGGTACAGAACCAGCTGTTGAGGGTTTGGGGTTCACACCGGGTCTTAGGCCGTAAGCCCTAAGCTCGAAACCAGAGGCCCCTAGTACCTAGGCTCTAAGCCCAGAACCAAAAGCCCTAAACTTGTAGCCTTAAGGCCTCAAGCCCCAGATCCCTAAACCTTACACCTTAAACCCTGAACTCAGCCCTGAGCCCCAAATCCTGACCCCTAGCATTGTACCCAACCACGGTCCGTGGGGAGAAACGGTGTCTTCCATTCAGATGCGGCCGGAAACCTGCCTGACGGCTTCGGTTTAGTGGGGTGATGGGATCCTTCGCGAGCAAGTCTCATTAAGGGTTATGGGGAGAAAAGTGGGGAACCATTCGGGTTTCCTCTTTGTATTTTGAAGGACTTTTCCCTTGTACTCGTAGGGTCTGTTCCCTTGGGCGTGGATCTCCAAGCCATAGAATACGGTAATTTTTTGGTGCATTTGGGAGCCCAACTCAAGGTTACAAACTTTAAGGCCAACAACTTAAAGTCTTTGATGCCCTCAACCTGAAACCCTGAAGCCCTAAACCCTAAACCCCTAAGCCCCTAAACCCTAACCCCTAGGTCCTAAGCCCCCTAACCCATAAGACTCCCTACGCACTAGACGCAGACCCCAATTCAGCCATTTCCAAGGCAGTGACGCTCCACCTCAAGCACCACCAGCTTACGAAAGCCAACCCCAGGCTTCTTGCCAGCCTCGGCTGGATGTAGGATTTAGGGTTTAGGAATTAAGGTTTAGGGCTTAGGGATAGGATTTAGGGTTTAGGATTTAGGGTTTAGGAATTAAGGTTTAGGGCTTAGGGATAGGATTTAGGGTTTAGGAATCAAGGTTTAGGGCTTAGGGATAGGAT